AAACTGGAGACTAAGATGCGCCTGATCCAAGTCATGGTCTTTGCAATTATTTGCTATGCATTAGAAAGCTGGACAATTACTAGCGATGAAAGGAAAATTGATGCCTTTAAACTGTGGTGCTGGAGAAGAGTATTGAATATGCCATATTGCTAGAACAAAGAGGTTTGTCAAAGAGAGGGTGAAACCAGTCTGCTCCTTGGAGGCAAGGATTCTGAAACTTCATCTGACATACTTTGGACATGTTGCAAGGCAGGACCATTCCTTGGAGAGGGACGTCATGTTTGGGAGTATAGAGGGACAGCACAAGAGATTCAGTGACTGGAATAGTGGGGGTAGGTGTGTCATAAACAATAAGATTGGCATAGGATAGAGCAGGGTTTAGGACTGTTGTACATAGGGTTGCTATGAGTCGCAAGTGATTTGATGGCACATAACAACCACAACAATGTGTTCATGTGAAACCTGTACATATACCAAAAAAGGAGTCCTTTGAGCAGAAAAAAAGAATATTGTTATGACTTAAATTTTTAAAAAGTGTGCACAATGCCTATTTAGTCTCTGAAGTAAGCAAATAATCTAAGAAGCTAGACTATATGAAAAGAAATGTGGCATCAGGATAGGAGGAAGATGCAACAGCACAACTTGCATAATATAACTTTGCTTGCAGAACTGAAAGACTAAAAAATATCAAAGACTACAACCCTTACATGGATTACATCTCAATAGCCAACCAACCAACCAACCAACCAAATGATTCATAGGATATGAAAAAGACAAGTTTCACACTGCAATATTTTCTAAGTAGATCCCTAGGCCTGGAGTTAAGAAGTTTGAATCTAGGAAAATATTCTACATTTTTTAAAAAATTAATTTTAAAGAACGTTTACAGAAATTTTGGATTTCCATACATTCATTGTTGCATTTTTCTCCCTGCCAACCCCTCCCCCCAGTTGGCACTACTCTTTGAAAAGCAAAAGAAAAATTATTTCTTTGGTATACAATCTCCTGCTTCCCCTTCCCCCTCCCCCCCCCCAGTACACTCCATTATGCAACCTTCATTCTGGACTCTTGTCATAACCATAATACCCAGTCTTTCAAACAGTTCTCTCCCTCATCTGTTTCAATGCGGTATACATAATTTATCCAATTTTTCTCAGTCTCACCCCAACCCTGATGTCAGTTCCGTTCTACAATAGTGGCACCATGCAGCACCTGTCCTTTTGTGACTGAGACACTTCACTCAGCATAATGTCCTCGAGGCTCACACATTTTGAATAATATTGCGTGAGTTCCTTGTTTTTCAATGCAGCATACTATTCCATTGTGTGAATATACCAGAGCTTCTCTACCCATTCGTTTGTTGATGAGCACTTAGGTTGTTTCCAACTCTTTGCTATTGTGAACAAAGCCACAATAAACATGGATATGCATATATTCTACAATATTTTAAAATGCAAACTTCATGCAATATAAAATATAAAAGAAAAAAAATTGCAACCAAAATCCTCACAACTATATAAATAGGAAACATCATAATAGATGGAGAAAAGATTGGCACTGTCAATCATTGATATGAATTTAATTTTGTTTTACTGGGCTCCACAATCAACACACAATGGTAGCACTTAATCACTTACTCACTCACTCACTCATTGCGCTAAGAACCACCTCAAAGCTGACATTCACAGCCAACCTTCAGCAGGTTTTCTGAGGCTGTAAATCTCATTGAAGACAATTGTCTACCTTTCTCCCCAGGAGCTCTCGGTTTTGAATCACCTTTGAGTTAGGAGTGCTACTCCCTATAGATCAGGCCTCTAAGAACGCCCTACCGATAGGAGCAGCAGTCAAGAAATCAAAAGACATGTTGCATTTAACAAATCTGCTGTCAAAGACCTCTTTAAAGTGCTAAAGAGCAAGGATGTCAGTTTAAAGACTAAGATGTGTTGACCCAAGCAAGCTATTGTATTTTTAAGTGCTTCATATGCATCTGAAAGTTGGACAATGAATAAAGAAGACAGAAGAATTGTTTCCTTTGAATTGCAGCGTTAGGGAAAAGTATTGCATATACTGTTGTTGTAGTTGTTGATTGCCTTTGAGTGGAGCACAACTCATAGCATGAACAAAAGGCCTGAAGCCCCTCTACAACTATTGACATTTATCAAATTTCACAGATTCCCCGGAGGCATGTTACTTAGAAAGTGAATGCCACTCTTGCTTCCAAACTGCCAAAAGAACAAAAGAGCTTTAGCAGGTGGGTGGTACCTCTCTGGTGGTTTGAGTCCACCAGAGGCTCCAAGGGAGAAAAATAGACAGCTTCCTTGACTGTGTGATGTATAGCCTCTGAAAACCCACTAGAGAGCGAGGGTCTGAGTTGGTTCAGACTTGACAACACTGAGTTGTTAAGCAGCAAAAAAGAACAAGCACATTTTTCTTGTGAGAAGGTGCTCCTTGGAGGCAAGGATGGTAAAACTTCCTCTCACATATTTTGGGCATGCTGTCTGGAGGTGCCAATACTTGGAAAAAGACATCATGCTTGGGAAAAGGGTCAACAAAAGAAAGAGCCTCAACAAGATGGATTGGCACAACGACTACAGCAATGAGCTGGAGCATAGCAGAAATTGAGGGTGGCGCAGGATGTGGCAAGGTTTTGATCTATTTTTCATAGGATAGCTATGAGCTACATTCCACATGATGGCACCTAACAACCACTTGTGATTGAAGTTTTATAGATGAGAAAATAGTAAATTACAAAATCTTGGTAATGATACAGAGGTACTTACACAACCTAAAAACATACCAGCCAACCTTCCAATCCACTTAATTGTGTCCTCACTTTAATGGAAGGTGAAACAATATTGAACAAAGCTGCCTCTGCTGTATGCTAAGCCATTTAATGACAGTGTTCATAGTAATAAATGCCCGTTTTAAAGGACAGGTTCCATAACAATCTGAGGGTTTTTAATCACTTTGGGTCTTTACAAGTTTTTAAAGTAATGTATAGTTTCTACTCCCCAAAAAGGCTTTGTGTGGATTATTGGTGGTAAGAGGAAGAGACTGCCAACAAGGTCGTTGAGACTGTCCTTAGAAGAGGCAGAAGTGGCTGCTGCAGAGATGTCCTGAAGAGATGTGTGATGTGTGAACAACGACAGCTGATATATACAACTCACCATGCGTCAAACACCGAGCTGCTTACTCTATTAATACATTTACTACCTTAGCAACTTGAAGTGGAGTGGGGATGAGGGTCTATTGTAGAGATCAAATAATTGTACAAATTGGGTTTTGAGTGATCTACACTTGCCAATGAAAATGGGCACGGGATAATGGTGGGGAGATTAGATAGATAGATAGTTGTTATTAAAAAAAGTCAATTTAAAAATGGGGGAGTGACTTGTCCAGAACTTTTAAGTTTATGGTTAAATAAATGCACTTGACATTTGGTTTGTACGGGTGAGGAGGTAAACAGAAAAAAGTGATGTAGGCATCATTTATAGATTCCATTCTATGAAGGAGTCCTGGAGAGGTTATAATCTCAAGTGTCTGTTATCTCATTCCCTGGCCTTCCACTATCACACGACAGCATAGAGATTCCTACTCAAAATTCCTGTGGACAAGTCATAGTTAGAGAGAGATTATCTTTTGGCTCAGGGGCCCTTTTCTTGATTAATCCTATTATACATTTGTTCTCACTAACATTATTGGAGCCCTAATGGCACAGGGGTTAAAGTACTCGGTTGCTCCAGCTGCTCTGCTGGACTTGCATGATTTACAGCGTTGGAAACCCTGTGGGGCAGTTCTATCTTAGAGGGTCATATGAATTGGAATCAATTATATAGCAAAGAAAAAAATTATTAGCAGCGAGTTTGGTTTGGGTTTTTCACGAGCAGTGTAGACAAAGATTATTAAAACAATAAGCAGATTTTTTCAGTGTTAAGTTTCAAATAAGAGTAATGTTGCACAAACTTATAAACTCATTAACATATTGCTAAAATGTGTGAACTGTATATGGTATCAAAACTAGGCATTTTTTTTTTTAAAGCCCTAGTGATGTTTGGAATTTTGAAGACAAAGGGATAGGTTCACAGCTCCTCTAGGATGAGAGGAGGAGGTATCCAAAAGGATTGTCCCTGAAGGTAAACAGTGACTTTTCCACTCTGAAATCTTGAGGTTTTTTTTGCCAAGTTTATTGGACACAAAAATTATGCTTTCACCAAAAAAAAAAAATAATTTTTTTTCAAAAGTTACACCTCAAATTATTAAAGTACCATAATCGTTTATCCTCGGTGTTTTTTAACGCTAAATTAATGTTAAAAAATGGATCTTTGTTTATGAAGATCAATGTAAGTGGTATCTATTTAACTCCAACTATTCATGCGACCTTAACTCCCTATCGGTACCACTGATTGCTAAATCGAGCAAACGTGGGGAAGAGTTTTAGTCGATTTTCACGTCCTCTACAAGAGTCCTTTATGCCATAGCCCTTTCGCTGGAAGGGGTGGAACCGGGCAGGGAAGGAAGACTTCCTGTGGCCAAAGGCGGCCGCGTTCTCCACACAAACGAGAGTTCGGCCCCAGATTGGACCCAGCGCTCCCCATTGGCCGGGTCGTCGGTCCTGGCGGCGCGGAAGCGCAGGCACCCTCTCAGCCGCTGCCCTTCAAGCCCAGGCGCTGGGCCGGCTCGAGGGCGAGCTGGTCACGTGCGGCCAGGGGAGTGCTGGAAGCTGGGAGTTCGCAGGAATGCACTAAGTTGCAGGGAAAAATTTCCCTCGGCCGGCCACACTTTCAGTGCGGGCGGGCGCGCAGAGGAAGGAAGAGCCGGGAGGAGGCGGAGTCGGCGAGTCGCTCGGGCGGGCGATTCTCTCAACTTTAGTTTTGGCGTCTGAGTTTCTGTCTCAGTCGAGCACTGCCGCCTCGGGGAAAAAGAAAGGGAGGAAGGAAGGAACAAGAAAAGGAAATAAAGGAGAAAGGGGGGAGGGGAAAGGCAACTAGTGGTCCGCCCCCCCGTGAAGGGAGTTGAAGGGGAAAAGTTGTGAGGCGCCGCAGGTCCGGGTCTCTCAGCCCCTCCCGAGGCACAGCCGCCAGACCAGTGGAGCCGGGGCGCAGGGCGGGGGCGGAGGCGCCGGGGCGGGGGATGCGGGGCCGCGGCGCAGCCCCTCGGCCCTGAGAGCGAAGACTCCGACGCCCAGCGCCGCGCTCGCCGCTTCTCCGGTCTCGGCCGTCGAGCCGGGACACCCGGGCGGAGTCCTCGCCCGCCTGCTCTGGGGTGCGCGTCCCGAGAGGTAGAAGCCATGGATCCCGGGCAGCAGCCACCGCCTCAGCCGGTCCCCCAGGGCCAAGGGCAGCCGCCTGCGCAGCCCCCCCAGGGACAGGACCAGCCGTCCCGGCCGGGGCAGCCAGCGCCCCCGGGGTCCCAGGCGGCGCCGCAGGCCCCTCCCGCCGGGCACCAGATCGTACATGTCCGGGGGGACTCCGAGACCGACCTGGAGGCGCTCTTCAACGCCGTCATGAACCCCAAGACGGCCAACGTGCCCCCAACGGTGCCCATGAGGCTCCGGAAGCTGCCGGACTCCTTCTTCAAGCCGCCGGAGCCCAAATCTCACTCCCGGCAGGTAACCATCCCCGTCTGGCAGGCCCCAAGGGGTGGAGGGGGGTGCCCGCTCAGCCGCGGCTATCGGGCCCCGCGTCGCCCGGAGTCCGGGGCCGAGATTTGTTGTGTGTGTGTTTTTTTTCCCCCTTGAAGTTTGTGCGGTTGCCCCGGGGGGCGTGCTTCCCCCCCTTCCTTCCTTCCTTTCTTTCTTCCCGGGGTTCCCAGGAGGTTGGCGGGAGTGGGGGAGGCGGCGGGGCGGGCGGTGGGTCGCACAATGCGCGCGCCTCCGCGCCCCGCACCTCCGCGCCCGCCGCCGGCGGGGGAGGGGGGCCTCTGGCATGCGTGTGGGGGAGCTGCCAGCGGCCGCCCGCTTTGAGAAGTTGAGCACTGGGCCCCCTTTCCTTCGGGGCCCCTCGGCGCTCTTCAGGCTCCTGGGGAGTCAAATAATTGTTCTCTTGTTTTCCAGTGTTGATTAGGGAGTGGGGGTGGGAGCAGACCTCTCGAGTTTTAGTCCCCCCGTCCCCCCTTTTCCTCCCCTCCTCCCTTTTCCTCCCCCTCCCCTTGCTGCCTGCATTACTTTCCCCGCCGCCCCGGTCCTTTCGGAATCCAGGATCCGGGCTTCCCCTGACCAGACTTTCCTGGAAGTTGTTTATGAAGTTCGTTCCTTCACCCCTGCACTTCCCTCGCTCTTGGAACTTGGGCAGGCTCGCCCTTCTCCAACTTTGTAGGTTCACGTGTTGATTTCCCAATTGCAGGCTATTATTTACAGTCTGCTGAAATGCTTTTAAATTAGCCACATCTGCACGTTGCACTGGAACTGCGTTGCGCTTTACAGCACCGAGGTTTAACACAACAGCCTTTGATAATACGCTGGGGGTTGACTCATAGGCCGAGTCTTGCCTAGTTCAACTGTGATTAAAAGTTAATGTTTGGGAAGCGATGACTAATTCAAGGATCGCCATTGCTTTTTAATTCTTATTGAGAATGTGAACATGGCTGATTTCCACAACGTTTGACTGTTTTGCCAACTTGATTATTTAAATGAGACGACTTAATTTTGAAAGCGTTAACATTCAGTTAAGTCAATTTTTTTTAAGCAAAGGTTTTTGAAGGTGTTTGCTTCCTCCCTCCCCCCTTAAATTGCTTTAGGCTAAACTGCAGAATGGGAACTTTGCCCAAAAGTTAATTGGTTTCCCAAATACTGAAGTGTAATTAAGCCACTCGGGCTGTAACGAGTGGAAAGAAGAATTTTCGACCCCCCCTCCCCCCACTGCTTTTGTAAGTCTGTGGTATATTTTTTGTGTGTGAAAGGGATGGGTTTTGGAACTCTATAGAAGCTCCAAAGGAAAGATGCAATATGCCTTTTTGCCTTGGAAGGAAATACAACTTACTTTGTTACTTAAGTATTGAATTTGTAAGAGATAAATTTATGTGCCATCAGACCGCCTGCGACTCATACCCTGTGTACAACAGCTCTGAACCCTACCCTGTCCTGAGCCATTTTCTCAGATTGGCATACCTAACCCCGGTGCCCCAGGTATCGGGTCAATCCATCTCCTCCAAGGTCTTCCTCTCCTACGCTGCCCCTTAGGTATGCTCTTTTTCTCTTGCACCTGGAGTTGAACTTCTGGACTTTTTTACCAATAAAGTGTGTTGGTGTGCACACGTAGAGAGAGAGCGCATACCTATGCTGTTGTTCACTTAATGGTTTTAGTTAGGAGATTGAATTCCCCACTTGATGACATCCTAAAAATTTGCCACTGAAAAGTGTACTTAATCTTTTAATAAATAATTACACAAATATTTATATCTAGCAATATGTGAACAGTTTGTCTTTGCCCCTATAAATGTAGGAAATTCTGAGTTTTAAAGTAAAACTCTTAATTCTAATAGCATGACTCTTGTAGATATTAATAATGTTAATAAACTGTTGGATATAAATTCTTAATGTACGTAAATCATCTAATCAAACAAAAATGCATTCATTGCCAGTCTAGTTAATTTAGGTTTATAGTGACCCCATATGGTTTCTGAGGCTGTAATCTTTGTGAATCTGACTGCAAGTCTTTCTCCTTAGGAGCAGCTGATGGGTTAGAAACACTGCATTTAACTCCCTCAGCACTAGGGTTCTAATGTAGCCTATATTACTATCTCTTAACTTCCAGCATGAAACACACATACACACACAAACACACTTAGGAAGATAGATACAACTCAGATAGATGAGGAAAGCAAAATAGATTAAATTATTTGCTCAGGGTTATGCCAGCCAGCCAACACATTAAAGGAGCTTTGGAGTCTAGTGCAGAATTGTTTTGCTATTGTACAGTTGTAAAGATGTGTGTGTGTGCGTGTGTGTGTGTGTGCGCGCGCGCGCGCGTGTGTGTACCATCGAATTGGATCTGACTGGTGCAGGGGGAGATTGCCTCTCCTTCTCCAGCAGAGAATCTGGTGGATTCAAACCGTATATCTCAGGGATTGCAGTGTAGCTTCTTGCCACTAGGCCACCAGAGCTCCCTTCAGTTGTAAATATGTATGTAGGTAATTTTAGAGTTGAACTGTTAACATCTTTAGCATCTAGTATACAAAACAATGGTTGAGTTTTAATTTCATTAAGATTAAGAGCTTTTGGATGGGAATCCTTCGCTTTCACTAAAAGTTGTGTAACTTTCCATTTTTTTTAAAAAAAACCTTTCATTTTATTGTGATTCACACTATTCTTCATTCACATTGTGTTTCATGTCATCATTCTCATTCATTTTGTTTTATAAATTAATCACCATTGAACTATGCCCACCATTTATCCTAGCTTTCCAGATCCCCACCAGATTTTTACCATTTCCTTTAACCCCTCTCCTCCCTCCACCCACCAAACTGTGCAACCCTGTGATATCCCCCCTCCCCATCCTCACCTTTCTGCTCCCACTTGCCCCTATAGTAAAAGTTGCATAATTTTTGATGATTGATTGTTTCTTGTTTACCCTCCCCACCCCATTATGGAAAATAATGTCATATGTTTAGATCTTGGCCTGGGGAATAACCAACCCATTAATGTTAAGTTTCATCAAACAAACAAAAAGGCATAGTCATTATATTGGGTTTTGTTTATATCTGGAATGGTGTAGAACTTGGGGAAAACCCCTATATGACTTCGGTCTTTTAAACATGCGAAGTTTAGTATTTACTGTGTTAGGAATGCTTTGTTCATAATACCCTGCATAGAGTCGATTTTGCCTTATAATGATCTTCCATCAGGCTTGAAATCTTGAAAGGAGGAGACTCATTTTTTCTCCCTCAGCAGCTAGTGGATTTGAACTACTTAACCTTTGATTGGCAACATGACACATAATGCACCACACTGCTAGAACTCCTTAATGGTTGCTTTTAATGGAAAATGGTGGTTTGTTCAGTCCCATGGAGTTGACTTCAAGTCAGAGACCCTGTGAACCACACATCTGCTGAATTGCCCTACTCCACACCATCAAACGGGCTATAAGATAAAATTATAAATACTTTTTAAAAATGTCTTATAGAATACCAATCATTTGAAAAGCATCCATTTGCTAAGCTTTTCCTCAGTGGCAGATATGTTTGTTGAAATTTACCTTTGGTCCTTAGAATGTTTAGTTGCAATGAAATTCTGTCTAGGAAATGTAGCAGAGTTCTTTTTTGAAACTTTGTTTTTCAGTCTCTGTTTTCATATTCCTCATAGGTCAGTACTGATGCAGGAACTGCAGGTGCTCTGGCTCCACAGCATGTTCGAGCGCATTCCTCTCCAGCTTCCCTGCAGCTGGGAGCAGTTTCTCCAGGGGCATTGAGCCCTACTGGGGTGGTCTCTGGCCCAGCAGCTACACCCACTGCTCAGCATCTTCGACAGTCATCTTTTGAAATACCTGATGATGTGCCTCTGCCAGCAGGCTGGGAAATGGCAAAAACATCTTCTGGTCAGAGATACTTCTTAAAGTAAGTGAAAATAATGGTGAGCCATTCTTAGCCAAGAAATATGCAGCTGTTGACAGAAGTATTTTAGAAAACATGGCAGTATGAAAAGATAAAAGGCCACTCACTTAACCTTATATTTCATGTAATATTTAAGTCAAGATCAATAATCCATCATTTCTTTCTCCTGTGCTTTCATATGGCCCAATTACTTTGTTTACGATTGGTAACAGTTTGAAGGTTGATTGATTGTTTTTGGTCAGAGTGTTTTAAGTATTTGATTAACTATTTTGAATTTGTGGCACACCTTCTTACTTAATTAGCCTAGCACAAAACTGAATTCAAGAATATGTTGAACTCTTCCCAAACTGAGAATTACAGGACTTACATGTTGTTATTTAGTATCATTGCCTTGGAACTGACCCTCCAGCAAGTTTTCAGAGGCAGTTTAATCACACAGGAGATTGCCCATCTATCTCCCTAGGAATAACTAGTAGGTTCAAACCATGTGCCTTGGAAATTTTGCAGTGCAGTTTCTTACCACTTAATGAACATTTTATCAGTGGAAAAGAATTGCAAAAATATGGGCATCTAATTTCATAGTGTTTTACATTTAGAAAATGAAAATACTTGGGTTACAGTTTTGTTTATGAATTTTTAAAGAATTATCAGATTTTATTAGAGAAGTTTACAGAGAAATGGATTATAAAGTACAGAGAGTTCATCAATTTTTTTGTTTGCTTCCCCCCCGCCAAACATAAACAGTGATAGTTCACTTTTGACGTACTGTTGTGCAGAGACAAACTTCTTTCAGGTAGTGGTATTCAAAACTCAGTCTGCCTCTTTGGGAAGATAAAAACAAATCCTTTGGGTTATTTTTATGAGCCTTTTTGTCTTCACCAACTGACAAAATTATATTAAAGTTGAATAAAACTAAATCTATGTTTTGTCTTCTTTAATTTTGGTATTATCAAGAACACCTTAATTTTTTAATTTGGCTTGTTTGGGTCAAGTATACAAAGTGTTACTTCATACCAGTTACTATTGATTGAAATTCAGTCCAGTCTCCGTTTTGATTGAGATTTTTTTTTTAAACAATTTATTCCTCAGGGAAATAGTGATTTATTAGAACAGATAATAAGATTAATAATAACTTTTTCAGAGTAGACTGTAATAATAACTTTTTCAGGGTGGATTGTTAACTTTGTAAGAGTAAAGTTTTGGGACAGCCTTATTTAGCTGAAGAGTAAAGGAAAACATTTGATTTTCTTAAAGTTTCAACAGTTTTTCACTTCTTTGGTGGAAACTTTTTTTTTTTCTTTTAAAATTCATTTTCTGGTGTCCTGGTATCCATTTCAAAGGCTCGGGTTTCAACCAGAACAATAAAGGGCCTGAGACTGGAAAGTACACACAAGTCTGGCAAACTCATCTGCATGAGCAAGATCATTTGTTCTCAAGCAGACATCCAAAGTAAATGATTGAAAGAGCTGCTAGCTGTGAGGGATGTCTTGAAGGGGAAAAGGAGTGGAAACAAACCAGGTTGTTAGGAAGGAAAAGAAAGGCTGTACTTTCTTGAACCTCTCCCTGCTGAGTCACATGCTGACCAGGGGAGGGTTTTAAAGAGTTTAATAGCCTGCTTGCCTTCTGCTTTCTTTGGTTGGTGGTGTGACTAAAATTCTCATTTAAAGAGCAACATTTAAGCTTTTTTTTAGCCTCTTGGTCTTGTAATAATGACTTGTGGGTGACCTCTCTCAGCTTTTTCGTTATTTTTGAAGAACTTAACTTTTTTGAGTTGAAGTTAATATTCTACACTTTTTTTAAATGGTTCTTTGTTGTTGTTGTGTACCCATTAAATTGGATCCAACTGGCACAAGAGGAGATTGCCTCTCCCTCTCCAGCAGAGCATCTGGTGGATTCGAATTGCATTCCTTCAAGATTGCAACACAGCTTCTTGCCACTGGGCCACCAGAGCTCCCTTCTACACATTTATTTTTATGGTAGTTTTTTCTTTGAGAACAGATGTTTCTCTTAAAACTATTGATACTGCAGAATTAATGACAAGTGTACATAGCTGCGCACAAAGACACCACCATATATCACACCACACATCTCCATTGGCTTGTCAAGAAGGTAAGGTTGGGCAAATGATATAAATGATATGAAGCTTATGCCGAAGTGCAGGCTGGGTATTGAAGGGGTCGTGGTACTAGGGATATTGTAGCTAATGTTAGATGGATCTTGGCTGAAAGCAGGGAATACCAGAGTAATGTCTATCTCTATTTCATTGATTATGCAAAGGCATTTGACTGTGTGGATCACAACACTGTGGCTAAGTCTGATAAGAATAGGAATTCCAGAACACTTGGTCATGCCAGTGTGAAAACTATACTTGGACCAGGAGGCAGAACAGAGCAGGGAAACACTGCGTGGTTCAAAATTGGGAAGGGTGTAGGCCAGGGATGTGTCCTTCTCCTTATCAACCTGTATGCAGAACAGATTATCCCGGAGGCTGGGCTGTATGAGGAGAAGTGTGGCATCAGGATTGGTGGAAAATTACCAACAATCTGCGTTACGCAGGTGACATAACCCTGCTGGCTGAAACTGAGGAGGACCTGAAGCACTTGCTGCAGAATGTCAAGGACTGCAGCTTTCAATATGGATTGAGGCTCAATATCAAGAAGACAAAAATTCTCACCACTGGGCTAATTGGCAGCATCAGGATGGATGGTGAAAAGATTGAGATTGTTCACAGCTTTAGTTTGCTTGGCTCCACAGTCAACACTCTTGGCACCAGCAACCAGGAAATTAAAAGACGTATTGCCTTGGGAGTCTGCTGTTAGGGACATCTCCGTAGTACTGAAGAGCAGTGGTGTCTCTCTGGAGACTAAGGTGCACCTGATACAGACCATGGTCTTTGAAATTACTTGCTATGCATCAGAGTTGGACATGACTAGGGAGGATAGAAAGATAATCGATGCCTTTGAGCTGTAGTGTTGGAGAGTATTAAATATACCATGTATTATTAAGAAAGAAAACGAACAGGTTCACCCTGGAGAGGATTAAATCAGGCTGCTCCTTGGAGGCAAAGATTCTGAACCTTCCTCTGACATACTTTGGACATGTTGCAAGAAGGAACCAATCCTTGGAGAAGGATGTCATGCTTGGGAGGGTGGAGGGACAGCATAGGAGAGAAGACCCACTATGAGGTGGATTGATTCCGTGATTGGGGTAACGGGAGTAGATGTGTCAGAGACAGATTGGCACAGGATAGAACAGGATTTAGGGCTGTTGTACATAGGGTCGTTATGAGTCATAGGTGACTTCGATGGCGTATAACAACGACATGCCACATGAGTAGTGGTTGCAGAACTAGAAGTTTATCTGGAAAAGAAAAAAACTGGGAAGAAGAAAGAAGAGATATTATTGTTTTAAGGTTTTGAGAGGAAGTAATGTGGAAGTAAATTAGGCTTATGATAAAAAAAAAATGAAGATTTTGGGTTCCATTTAAGAATTTCTCATCAAACCTGAGAAATAAGTTTCCCTGAGAGCTAGATCTTGATCAGAAAACAAAAGGGAAAACAGGTTCTCAGTGTTTAAAAAAAACCAAAACACCACCATAAGAAACCACCCCAAACCAAACTTTTTACAGTCAAGTTAATTTTGACTCATAATGACCCTATAGTGCAAAATAAATAGAACAGCTCCACAGGATTTCCAACTCTAGTCCTCATGGAAAATAGCCCTGGTGGTGGTGTGTATAATATATCAGTTTGTTAACTTAAAGGTGGAGGTTTGACACCACTGGCCATCCCTTCCTCTGGAGAAAGGTGCATTATTGTCTCCTGGCAAAATTTACCACCTTAGAAACTAGATGAAGAATTGCTATGAGTTGGACTTGACTTAATGACTTGGGGGTGTGGGTGGTGAATCTTTATGGAAGAAAACTGCCACATATTTTTCTTGCTAAGTGACTGGTGAGTTTGAATCCCTAACTTGGTTAGTAGCTGAGCCCATAAGGACTATTGTAGCCAGGCTCCTCAGGGAATAATATGTAAGATTCTTTAGCATTGGATACATAGGACTCCTTTCATTGTTAACATTTAACAGTTAAAGGAATTGAGTCTTTATGGAAGCTAACTGCTACATGTTTCTCCTATGGAGCTGCTGGTGGGTTCAAAAGCATACTTTTCAGTTTGGAGCCAAGTGCTTTAATAACTATGCCACCAGAGGTTCTTGGATGAATAGTAATAGTTACTTTTTT